AACTCCATCTGAATGTACAGTACGTTCACTTCGACCTACGAATTGAAATACTGAACAACAAATTCCGAGCGAACTTTCTCTAAGTTTTTCACTTCTCTGAGAATCCTTTTCGTATAAAACGGTAATATCATGGACTGCAATATTTTTTGCAATGAAATTACTTTTGTGTTTAGCATTTCATTCCCGGAGTAAATGCTTTCAGAATTATATTTAGAAATAAGAACTAATTAATTAAAATTTATATTCTATAATTTAATTATGCATACTTATCAGGGTCGGTAAAAAATAAATCCAATTCAAATATTTCGGACCCAATTATTGCCAGACTATAAATGTCTACTTTATGTCCATATTTGTTTCCCTGAGATATTTCAGGTGCTTGATACTTTATTGTGCCCACACCTGTAGAATGTTTATCACGTGTCATGTAATGGGTGTATTTGTGGTGAACTGTAGCCAAACCAAAGTCGCATAACTTAATAAATCTACCGTTCCTTACATTTTCAGCAATTAATATGTTTTCGGGTTTGAGGTCTCTGTGAATGATCTGTGGATTCAATTTATGCAAAAACTGAACACTTTCTAAGATTTGACGGAATATTTCACACGAAATGAAATACTCGACACAATCCATAGGTTCGCCTAACTGTCGACCAAACACTTGTGGTTTGACTTTAAGAATATTCCTTAAATTCTATGAACAGAACTCCATCTGAATGTACAGTACGTTCACTTCGACCTACGAATTGAAATACTGAACAACAAATTCCGAGCGAACTTTCTCTAAGTTTTTCACTTCTCTGAGAATCCTTTTCTTATACTCGTCGGTAAAATCTGAAATGTTTTTTTGAAAAATACTAATCAATATTACGAACTAATTGAAAATGTTCAATGTACTTTGAAACTCGACCCTTTTGACGGCATATATGTGTTCATCTAATATTTGCTTCACTTTAACTACTGTCCCAAAACCGCCCGAACCTATGGTCGATATCTCGGAGAATAGACTTTTGTGTTTAGCATTTCATTCCCGGAGTAAATGCTTTCAGAATTATATTTAGAAATAAGAACTAATTAATTAAAATTTATATTCTATAATTTAATTATGCATACTTATCAGGGTCGGTAAAAAATAAATCCAATTCAAATATTTCGGACCCAATTATTGCCAGACTATAAATGTCTACTTTATGTCCATATTTGTTTCCCTGAGATATTTCAGGTGCTTGGTACTTTATTGTGACCACACCTGTAGAATGTTTATCACGTGTCATGTAATGGGTGTATTTGTGGTGAACTGTAGCCAAACCAAAGTCGCATAACTTAATAAATCTACCGTTCCTTACATTTTCAGCAATTAATATGTTTTCGGGTTTGAGGTCTCTGTGAATGATCTGTGGATTCAATTTATGCAAAAACTGAACACTTTCTAAGATTTGACGGAATATTTCACACGAAATGAAATACTCGACACAATCCATAGGTTCGCCTAACTGTCGACCAAACACTTGTGGTTTGACTTTAAGAATATTCCTTAAATTCTATGAACAGAACTCCATCTGAATGTACAGTACGTTCACTTCGACCTACGAATTGAAATACTGAACAACAAATTCCGAGCGAACTTTCTCTAAGTTTTTCACTTCTCTGAGAATCCTTTTCTTATACTCGTCGGTAAAATCTGAAATGTTTTTTTGAAAAATACTAATCAATATTACGAACTAATTGAAAATGTTCAATGTACTTTGAAACTCGACCCTTTTGACGGCATATATGTGTTCATCTAATATTTGCTTCACTTTAACTACTGTCCCAAAACCGCCCGAACCTATGGTCGATATCTCGGAGAATAGACTTTTGTAATGATTTTTAAACGAATCGTTTCGTAGTATTGATGAAAGATCTGGTGCTATAATAACATAATTATCATATTATTTATGTTTAAAATTGTTAATAATATAAATACCCTCATCTGTACGACTATTTTGTTCATTTACTTTATATTCAAACGAATTATTATCTAATTATAAAAATGTAATCATTAATTAAATAATAGTTTACAACTAGAATAATAATATTGCAACCTACCTATACTTGTATTAATATTTTTATTTACGTTATTAATTATTTCATTAATATCTACATTTTTAATTTGATTATTATCAACTACATTAGTGCTGTTATTTAAATCATTGCTAGCATCTAGCTCATCCTTATCAATTATGTAAGTAATATCATCGAAATTATTATTTTCTATAAAAGTTGAATTATCGTTTACATCATTATTATTTCCATTATTATTTTCAATTGAATTATTATTTCTCCATAATATTTGTTTAAATTTCTGTACAACCCACCATGGTTCACTAGTGTTTAAATTAGTATTTTCTGGTGGAATAGGACTTGTTTGATCCAATTCTGGGCTAATTTTATCGGAATTTGATACAACATTTGAGTCCATATGTAACGTATTGTAGCTTAACTGGTATTCATTAGCGTATAAATCAATAAAATTAGCATGGTTATACATTCGCATTTGGATTGGTGATATAATCTCGCAAATTTCATTATCAGTTTGTACAGGGATGACATTATATGACTCCCCTACTTTAAATTAAAATAATTTTAATACCATGCATTAAACTGCATGGTATTAAAATTATTTTAATTTAAAGTAGGGGAGTCATATAATGTCATCCCTGTATTATTGCTTTATTATGATTTGAGCAATATTCATTAAACTCAATATTTGCAAACTGGACATTTAGCTTAAATGAAATATGTACCGGGGTTGATTGTTCATGCACCTGATTTATATCGTAAGCATACTGTCCGCAAAAGTATATTATATTATCATTTGACAGAAAACAAGTGAAATAATTATCACCAGAATTTGTTGAACAAATTGCCTTGATACTATTTAAATGCGGGATCAGTTTGGATGACAATATATTAATTGCTAAATCATGTCCTAATTGGTGGTACTTATTGTGACCCCAACTGAATACCAGTCCCTCAATAGTAATGGCAAATGAGTTGAATGGCGAACAGAAAATACTTTTAATTTTATAGTTATTCTTAAACTTTATGACAACTGGTAGACAGACATCCATTGCATCACCAGTGCCTACCTGTCCACAGAAATTACTGCCCCACCCATACACCTGCCCATCGGTGGTGAGGGCCAGGGAGTGTTGATGACCGCAACATACGTGTGCGATATTAATGTCATTCATATATGATATGAAATCCGGTGTTAAATATTTACCAAATTGTGTCACATCTCTGCCTAACTGTCCCCTCTCGTTGTGTCCCCAACTGAACACATGGTTGTCCTCATTGATAGCCAACACAAAGTCATATCCAGTGACAAACTGTCGGATCCGTTGTCCGCATAATTCTTGTATAATCTCTGGTGTTTGGACATTATGTTTGTCAGCCAAACCCAGACATCCCAGGTTATTAGCGCCCATACCATACACGATATCGCGTTTTGTAATAAACAGTATATTCTGTTCATTCCGCCAGTCAATGAAAACGTGAAATAATTTGATTACATGTTTAATATTGGTGTCAATCGTATCGCAAATGCGAAACTTTTCTAAAATTGCAGACATTTTCACATGAATTGTAAATTATTTTTGAAATATTTTTTATTTTAAGACAATTACAAAAGTAAACTAATATAAAGTAAAAGTGAAATATATCTAACAATTTATAATATAATTATTAATAGGTATTGGGAGTTAAAATATTTGATAAACATACTACTCATTCAAATAAGCGTTACTAAATCATTAAGGGCATTTAATATTTTATATGCAGTATAAGAGTTTGTAGTATTGATACTAGCAAAATATTTTATACTATATTCACGGGGAGATTTATATTACATAAAATATAAATACTATATATTTGAAAAGTTTTTTATTGATAGCAAATTATCTTAATAGGAAACCACTTGAGACACGGATTTACTTTTTAAATCATATCTTATGACCTTTTATTTATTACACAAAAACAAATTAAAAGTGAAATATATTTTGTTGTCAATTTATTGATTGATCTATATCTTTAATATTTGTAAATATGCATTATGTGAATTGTGATAGTTTAAATAATTAACAAAATATTGTATTTTTTAAAATACTTAACTAGTCTATTAATTACAGTTTTGTGTTGTAATTTAACCTATTAATTTAGTTAATATACAGTACTCAACAATACAATACTCAGTAATATACAGTAGCTCAACACAACTAAAAATATACAAAACTATTTAGTATTTTGAAAATTTGCTATTTTGTGCTTTTAAAATCTACTTTTAAGACTACTTTTATTTCAGGTTATTGTCCTACTTGTTTTGTATGCATCTAATTAATTAAAATTAAAAACATTTATAAAACAAATTAAATTTTCCAATAGTCTTACAATTTTTGTTATGACACTATTTTAAGTTTTAATTAAGTTTAATATATTTTATTATACAAATTAAAAATGTTGTTTATTTATTGCCAACATTTTATCATAAACTAAACTTGCTATACTAACTTTACCCAAATATTTTAGCACCAATTAAAGCCAGCCATAAGTCTACTTTATGATAATATAGAATATCCTGGACTATACTGGTATCTGGTGCATGATATTTTAGTGTGCCTACACCAGTCGTATGTTTTTCATTAGTAATATATTGTAGTTTATATTTTATCATGCACGTTTGCCAAACCAAAGTCACATAATTATGTCTGCTAAACCAGAGGTCGTCCCCTCTATAGGTGCCGATCCATGTTTGGTCTCAGACTCCGAGTCATCGATAAGTAACTTCTTTGATATAATTTGCGTTAATATTGAGTAGTCATCGGATTTGTGTTGATTTATAAATTGTATAAATTCTTTAGTATTAGTTTCCTTCAGAATATTCCGATCAATAGCCCATTCATTAGATTTTCTCAAAACTTGTGAACATTCCGGTCTACGTATCCATATGGGGGTCGACATCATAGACATCAATATGTTTTGCAATTCATTTACTTTTGTGTTTAGAATTTCATTTCCGGAGTAAAGGTTTTCGTAACTATATTTTAGGTACATAATTATTAAAAATGTTTTGAGCAATGATTGCATACTTATCAGGGTTAAAATAAAACATATCGAAATCAATTAGTTCTGCACCAATTATTGCCAGACTATAAATGTCTACCTTATGACCATATTTATTACCCTGTGCTATTTCTGGTGCTTGGTACTTTATAGTGCCCACGCCTGTAGAATGTTTATCGCGAGTAATATAATTGAGTTCTTTGTCGTGAACTGTAGCCAAACCAAAGTCGCATAATTTGATAAATCTACCGTTCCTTACATTCTCAGCGATTAATATGTTTTCCGGTTTGAGGTCTCTGTGAATGATCTGTGGATTCAATTCATGCAAATACTGAACACTTTCTAAGATCTGACGGAATATTTCACACGAAATGAAATACTCGACACAATCCATGGCTTCTCCTAATTCTCGGCCAAATACCTGTGGTTTCACTTTAAGAATATTCCGCATATTCTGTGAACAAAATTCCATTTGAATGCAAAGGTATTTGGTTTCAGTCCATGAATTGTAATATTGCACACAATATTCTGAATTAACTTTTTGTAAATTCTTCACTTCATTATAAACTTTTAGTTGATATTCTTTAGAGAAATCTAAAATATATTTTTAATTAAAATTAATTTTTATTGATATTTTTTGTATAATACTTACTTTGAAACTGGACTCTTTTGACGGCATATATCTGTTCATCAAATTTATGCTTCACTTTTAATAAGGTCCCAAAGCCTCCCGATCCTATTGCCGATAATTCAATGAACAGACTTTTGTAATGACTTTCATTTGAATTATTTCCTATATTTCAATAATTATAGTATTTTGAAGATATAATTTAATTTGTTTAATAAATAATACCTTCTTTTGAAGTTTTATATTCACTTTGAAGACTATTTCTTTTTAAAGTATTATAACTAACTTGATATTCATTGGCGTAAAAATCAATAAAATTATTATAATTATATTTATTAATTGTACTTGGCGAAATAACTTCATACACATTGCCATCAGTTAGCACCAAAACCTTATATTCAATACGATATGAATAAAACACATTAAACTGTTGAACATTTAATTGTAATTGTATGGGGGTAGTTTGTAATTTTATTTTATTCACTTCATTCATAAATTGTCCACAAAAGTATATTAAATTATTAGTTGTTTGGAAACACGTGATACGATTACCACCCAAATTTGTTAAACCGATTGCTATTATATGATTTAAACGTGGGATCAGTTTTGGTGATAATATATTACCAGAAATATGATGTCCTGTTTGATGGTATCTGTTGTAACCCCAACTCAATACATATCCATTGGAAGTAATAGCGAATGAATTGAATGCGAAACAGAAAATACTTTTAATTTTATAGTTATTGTTAAACTTTAGTAAAATTGGTGAATAGGTTTGGATATTTTTATTATAACCTGTACCTACTTGGCCAACACTATTGTCGCCCCACGCGTACACCTGTCCATCGGTGGTGAGCGCTAGACTGTGTCCAAAACCACAACAAATATGTTTAACATTCTTGTCATTCAGATATAATATTTTTTGGGGTTTTAAATAAACACCATTTTGTGTCACATCTCGACCACACTGTCCCTCAGTATTGTGTCCCCAACTGAACACATGGTTGTCCTCATTGAGAGCCAACACAAAGTCATATCCAGTGATAAACTGTTGGATCCGTTGTCCGCGCAATTCGAGTATAATATGCGGTGTTTTGACGCCATTATTGTGACCAAAACCCAGACACCCCTCACTGTTTTCACCCATACCATAGACAATGTCATCGTTCGTGACAAACAAAATATTTTTCTCATTACTCCAGTCATTGAAAACATGAAATAATTTGATTTCTCGTTTCACATTCGTGTCGATCGTATCACAAATGCGAAACTTTTCCAAAATTTCAGTCATTTTAAACACAAACTATATTTAATAAAATTCAAACAGCATATAAACTTATAATAAAGTTATTAAACATAACAATAAATCTGGAAATTATTATGTGTTATAAACCTAATAAAACAAATAAAATACTACTACCGTATAAACTACAGAAAATGGATTTATTTATGGATTAGAGTTGTTTGATAACTGTTATTGAAATAATAAACTCAATTGGAAACCATTGGAAACATAGATATGTTTTATAACTTATTTAGTTTCAACTTTTATCGTAAAGTAGTATTTTCATTGGGATTTAAAATCACATAATATAATATAATAAGAGATATATATTAAATTTATAATACGTTAGCTATTATTTCTATCTAATTAGTAACTTGAATCAAAATATTTTTTAAATAAAAATCTATGAATATTGTAGATATAAAAAATACCTAACGTCTCTGGTTTCACAAAACTCATATATACTTTACATACAATATATAATGTATTACACAATTATATTACCTGTATATAATATTATATATGTTTAATTTGTTTTTGATAATTTTAATAAGAAACTACTTTACACAAAACATGCTAAATGTAAAATATTTTATTTCATTGTCCACTTTACTTGTTATTAATAAGAGCATGCCCAATTAAAATTCTTGATTAAAACTTTTAAATTTCATTGCCCTGAATTTATTGGTACTAATAAAAATAAGATGATTTAAGTGAACTATTATTTTGCAAAACTATTTATTATTATTTTCTATTTTGTGCCAATTTCTCAAACTTTTCTCTCAAACCACTTATACTTCCGGTTGAGGCGTACGACTCGTTATGCAATGATTTCTCACTTGTAGTCCAAGTCTGAGAGTCAGCTATAATACAAAATATAATAAAACAATTAATTGAATTCCCTTGATAAATTAAGAAAATAATAATTACACTTTTTGATTGGCACAGTACTTGATTTAACGTTGCTCATTTTATCAATTTTTAATACAGATGAAATAATCTCTTTATATATTAATGAGTTATCAGATTTTTGTTGATCAATGAACAAGCTGAATTCATTTATGTTTGCTTTTAATATGTCCTTGCTTAATGATCATGAATCAATTTTGTTTAATATTTCGGAGCATTCAGGTCTAACAGGTCTAATGATACCATAGCTTAAAATATGTTTAATAGATTTCTTACATTTAATTTTAATGCAGCATTATTATATTTATCCAGCACACTTTCCCTATAAAAATTTTAAGAATAAGAAGTTATAAATTAATATTTTAAGGGAAAATTATTATATACTTACTCTAAGTATATATCAAACAATTCCATTGAAAGGATTCCTAAACAATAAATATCTGATTTTACGGTATATTTTGATTGATCTAATTCTGGTGCCATATATCTAATTGTTCCCACATTTGTTGTGTGACTCTGGGATGTCGTCCGGTGCTCAACAGCCAAACCAAAGTCACATAACTTAACAAATCTACGGTTCCTTACATTCTCAGCAATTAATATGTTTTCTGGTTTGAGGTCTCTGTGAATGATCAGTGGATTCAATTCATGCAAATACTGAACACTTTCTAAGATTTGTCGCAATATTTCACACGAAATGAAATACTCGACACAATCCATGACTTCTCCTGATTGTCGACCAAATACTTTTGGTTTCACTTCAACAATATTCCGCAGATTTTGTGAACATAACTCCATTTGAATGTATAGTACACTCTCTTCAGTCCATGAGTTGTAATACTCGACCACATATTTCGAGCGAACTTTTCCTAAATTTTTCACTTCATTATAAACTCGTTGTAAGTGTTTTTCAGAAGCGTCTGATATAATGAAAAAATTAAATTAATTAAAATGACTAAATATATTTTTGTTTACCTTTAATCTCGACTCTTTTGACTGCATATATGTGTTCATCAATTCTGTGCCTCACTTTAAATACAGTTCCAAAACCTCCGGAACCGATGGCCGACAACTCGATGAAAAGATTTTCAAATAAATTATTTTCTAATTTCGGTGATTTTGTCACTAATTTGAAAATTCCCATAAATAATGATTATGACAATTTAATACATTTTAAAATTATATTAATATAATACCTGTATTTGTATAAATATCACTTTTTGAAATTGTATTTACTGTTTGTTTTTCAAGTAAATATAGTTTTGTTTCACCTGGAATACTCGTTGAATTTTTATCTAGCTTTGATGTTCCCATGCGTAATGTATTATAACTAATTTGTAATTCATTGGCATAATAGTTAACAAAATTATCATGATTGTACGGAATCAAATTGTTGGGAGGTGGAAACACTTTTTAAACTACATTTTCGCTCAAAAGTACCAGGGGATTGAAGGCATAAGAATAATGGCGATTAAGTTTAATTGTATCAAGGTTAAAAGTGATTTGTTTCGGATGTTTCTGTATTACAGTTGGATTGTTGGCAATCGTATATTTACCGCAAAAATATATCACATTATTATTTGTAACAAAATACGTGCAATAGTGATTCCGGAAATACGATGAATTAATTTGCACGATACCAATTAAGTTCGGGATCATTCTAGGTGACAATATATTATCGACAGTTATGTGTCCTAGTGTATAATTTTCATTCCTTCCCTAACTGAATACCAGGCCATTGACAGTAATGGCGAATGAGGCATTTTGAAACACGAAAATAATTTTTATTTTATAATTTGAGTCAAATTGTAGCGAAATTGGTGTGTTAATTATCAAATTGGAAACACCGCAGCCTATCTGTCCCAAATTATTAACTCCCCACCCGTACACCTGTCCACTGGTGTTGAGGGCCAGGGAGTGTCGATAACCACAACATATTTGTGCGATATTCTTGTCATTCAAATGTAATATTCTTTCGGGTTTTAAGTACACCCCATCCGGCGGCACATCTCTACCACACTGTCCCCACTTATTGTGTCCCCAACTGAACACATGGTTGTCCTCATTCATAGCCAACACAAAATCAAATCCAGTGATAAACTATTGGATCCGTTGTCCGCATAATTCTTGTATAATCTCTGGTGTCATCACTTCATTATCGTGACCCAAACCCAGACACCTCTTGCTATTAAATCCTAATCCATAAACCGAGTCATTGTTTGCGACAAACAATATATTCTTTTGTTTATTACTATCATTGAAAATATAAAATAATTTGATTTCGTTTTTAACGTCTGTACCAATCTGTTTACAAATGGGAAACTTTTCCAACAAAGAGCTCATTTCTACACAAATTATCAAAATTTATATAATAATTTGAATAGCAACATTAACAAGGCGTTTTCAAAAATAAAACTAACAAAACGCACAATGAAATCTAATTATATATTGATATGTAGTGTTGTCAACGAAAACATTTATATGCGATAAGATTAAAATGCTTTCACATAAAGTCTAATCATTGTTTTGCTTTATTATCTGTAGCATATATAACGATTCCCTACTCCCAACCCGCAACCTATAAACCATAGTAATATAAACTGGTCAGTTAGCATTATCGACATGATTGTGACATTGAATAACACAAAATCAGGTGACTACTAAATAAATAAAAATTATATTCACAAATTTATATCAATTCATTAATAATATTACATTATTTTCATATTATAAACTCAGGTAATATTAAGTTGCGGGCAGAGACTTACATATGATTATTGACCCATTTCTAATTAGTAACTTATTATTTGTTACGTTGAGATTTACAAACGTAACGTTTACACTAGTAATAGACTATAGTAATGAATTTTTTATTTATATAAAGTATACAGTAAATTATATTTTATTTTATCGCTATCACTGTACAGTGTAATACTATGGAATCTATAAGCAAATAAATTACAAAACAATTTATATTAATACAAATTTTAATATATAATAGTATATTATTTAATATTATTTTCATATTTTGTATACCAAAAATAACTTATAACTAAGATCCGGTAAAAGTCTTTTTAAATAGTGTTTAAATAGCAAATAATATCCGATTATTATCAATGGTTATAGAAAACAGCTTTAATTGTAAATTGCTATTGGTGTTTTAAATTTTCGGGAAGTGCTACTGATCGTGGACATTTGTTATTAACGTCGATTATTTTATCAATTGTACGTAAAACGATATTGTTAATTTTAAACCTTGTTGCTATAATATCATGAAATAATTTGTTGTCATCAGTTATAGAATTACTAGCGAATAAAGTAAATTCAGCAATGTTGTGTTCAATAAACTCCTTATCAAGCTGACAATCATCAGTATTTTGTAATATATCATTGCAACTTGGTAAATGAGGTCCATATGGAACCATCGAAGTTACCAATAACGTTAAAATTTCTATATACTTTAGCAACGGACTATTATCATATTTACCACATTCATTTAGTCTGAAAAATGAGTAAATTTATAAATTAAAATTTAATAATTAATAAAATATAGTAAAATACATACTCTAATGATTCAAACGATATGTCAAACAATTCCATTAAAATAACGCTCAAACTATAAATGTCCGCTTTTGTGGTATATTTAGCTTGAACCATTTCTGGGTCCTGAGAATCTGATTTATTCTCGACAGCTGTAGCAAAGTCACACAATTTAACAAATCTACCGTTCCTTACATTATCGGTGATTAATATGTTTTCTGATTTGAGGTCTCTGTGAATGATCTGTGGATTCAATTCATGCAAATACTGAACACTTTCTAAGATCTGACGGAATATTTCACACGAAATGAAATACTCGACACAATCGATGGCTTCACCCGATTGTCGTCCAAATATTTGTGGCTTTACTACAAGAATAGTCCTTAAATTCTGCGAACAGTACTCCATCTGAATGTAGAGGTGTTTGCTTTCGAACCACGAGTTGTAATACTCGACCACATATTTTGAGCGAACTTTTCTTAAAATATTAACTTCATTATGAACTCGATGTAAATATTCAGAATTATCTGAAAATTGTGCTGAAATTTTACATTTATAAAAATAATTAAAAATTTTGTAATTACTCTGAACTATAGTGTAAAACAATAAAAATTATTTATATGTTGATTTATGTTTCATGATAAATGAGTGAATTGTTAAATTACAAAAAATTAATATTTTATATAAGGCACACGTTTTTACTGAAAAATTTAGTATTAAATTATTGTTTTTAATGTTTTTTAAATCATGCACGTTTTGTATATATTAATTTCAACTAGTTTATTTAAGGAAAATGATTTAAACGAGTATATCTGGTTCAAGATATCGGATAAGACCAGACAAATTTTAGCTTATTTTTACTGCTTACAAACCTTTCTTGCTTACGACTCAATATTAAAATCTTTTTAACTTAAACTCATAGACTTTATACAGTAAAGATTTTAATATTGAGTCGTAAGCAAGAAAAGTTTGTAAGCAGTAAAAATAAGCTAAAATTTGTNAAACTCATAGACTTTATACAGTAAAGATTTTAATATTGAGTCGTAAGCAAGAAAAGTTTGTAAGCAGTAAAAATAAGCTAAAATTTGTCTGGTCTTATCCGATATCTTGAACCAGATATTCAGAATCTGAAAATTATGCTCGTTTTAATAATTTTCCTTAAATAAACTAGTTGAAATTAATATATATACAAAACGTGCATGATTTTTTAAAAAAACATTAAAAACAATAATTTAATTATGTACTTACAATTCAACTCGATCCTTTTAACCGCATATATATGTCCACCGATTTTAAGTTTTGCTTTAAATACAACCCCAAATGTCCCGGACCCGATGACTGATAACTCATCGAAAAGACTTGTCATTGAACAGCTACTTGAAAATGAGCTACTTGCTATTTGTAATAAATTGTATAATATTATAACATATACTGTATAAAGTATTTCTATAACATTATTAGGTTAATACCTGTATCTATATTATCCATCGAAATACTAATTTATTGAGGCTTTATATATGAAATTATATAAATAATGTTATAATCTAGTTCACTTTGTCATTATAATTTAAAATTAATAATACTCAAACACCACATATTGTTTATAACTTGTAATAACATTCAAAATGAAATCCATTAAACAATTGATAACATTTACTGATATTCACATAATCGTTACAAGCAGATTTCAGGGTTAAATTATATTTTATTATTTTACTCACATAAAACAAATAGTGTGACTAGCAAAATTTTTAATAAATAATCATTAGAATAGATTTTAAAAATAAATACTGATACTATATTTTAAATTTATAATTTAATTGGTGGCTATACACAATTAATATTATTATAAGTTATAATTTATAACCTTTAATAAACACTGGGGAGCGAAAAATAATTTTATTACATATATGATATACTTCTTAAATGTCATATTGTCATGGTTACAATTATCTCAATTGACAAACTAACAGATAACATTTATTGAATAGTTGCACTCATATATAATTATATAATTAAAATAGATTAAAATAAATGCGATGACATGTTGCAAATATAATATTATTGATATGTTTATATACTAACTCGACTCATGTATTTAACCTACTAACGCATTAAACGTAATATAAACGTAACACGTAACGTAAACGTAACATTTAAAAATAAATGTCTTATGTACAATGAAATAACAATTTTTATTGGCAGATCCATTGACACGCCTGTCCCTCCAATCCCTGTCCAATACTGTAATGTATTTCACACCCAATACTCGTTCACAAAGACATTCAGTTTATGACAGAAATATCATCATTTAAAACACAACTATTGTATTAAAATAAAAAACATAAATATTATAGTTTAATAAATGATTCACTCAATTAATAGGATAATCAAAACATGATCATTTGTGGACACTTAAATTAAAGTTTTTAATAAAAATACAAACTGTAATAAGTTATTTTTCGGGATAACTTATTTATAAAATTAACAAATAATTTATTTGATATACTGAATGGATAGTTAAATGTATTATTTTTAATAAATTTTTTTTATCTTATATACATACATACCCACACAATATCAATTATAAAAACTGTAACTATTTATAAAACAAGTTTAATGCTATTCATAAGTTTACAACCTTATAAAAATTAATAAATTTATTTCTGTAAATATTGTGTTTACTTACACTAATAGGTCGAATTAAACTGACAAATGACTGTGTTGTAACTAATTTATTAAATATATTTAATTTAATTTTTAAATATGAAATCTGCATTGTTAAATTACACATCATTTAAATGTCGCTAACTCTGAAATTCAGAAAACATTTTCAAAAAATAATTTCATTTATTTTTAAATAACAATAAACGCGGTAAACATAAGTACTCTGGAATGCGAAGGTTGGCTATAATTAGCATAAAAAATAAATTATTTTTACACACATTTCGACGTAAAACACGTAAACATTCGGTGAATGAATAGTTTTAAGCGAAATCTCGACACAAATAAAGTGATTCCCGACGCGAGACATGCGCTCATAAACTGTACCACAATTAACAACAACTTTCCCTTAGCTAACGGTGCTCTTGAAAAAATTGTTTTCACACATTCATTGTCAGTGTCTCACAAACTACACGTGAAAGTACTCACAACTAGTCTTAAGTCACAGAATATTCTACACAAAGTATTGCAGTTTATTGTATGTTTAAAAAGTGTTTAAAATTTTAATAGCGGTATGTATTACTACTTTTTTAATCAATTATGATGTATAATTAATAATAATAATCATTATGAAATAGCCATGATCAATTATATTTAAAATCAAATAATTATTTTTGAATTAATTAATTACATATAAATTAATAATAATTTTATTTTTCAAAACTATACAGAATTTCCTAATAATAAGCACTCATTCAATGGATCGTATCATACGGTTAGACCTCATGAGTGATAAGGAGTTGAAAGCCGTGTCCGACGCGTACCGGCCCACAGAGCGACCCGACTTAGGTCTGGACGCCTTATACAGCCTACCGGCCCGTATGAGGAGGTGGGGCGGCACCGGACACAAAGACGGATACCTATTGCCGGACACCGGAAGACAACTCAAAGAATTGGCCCAACAGTCAGATGAATGCGAAGACAAACGTATGAGAGATCGACTCAAACACCTGGCGCTGGAAAGGGAGGCCAGACTCGGGTTTTTGGCCAAAAACTCTGAGCTGAACGCAGAGCTCAACCAACACTACCCGCGCTATCGGCCCCTCGATTTGGGCGTATATTGCAGTCAATCGACGTACCGGCGCTCATATCGCCACTGATTTTATGTGATTATTAAATGAGTTTTTAAGGTATGGGTGGAAATAGATGTTGAGTACTCAGATGATTTATGATTAAAAGTACAGTATGTTTGGATAACTATAAATATAAATTACCTTGTTAATTAAAGTTTAGTTTAATATAATAATGTTTTTTATAAGGGTTGATAAAATTATATAAAAATTAAATGCTAAAAATAAAATTGTAACTATTTCAAAATAATAATTTTCACACAAGTATAAATATTTTTATACTGATAAAATATAAACTACAAACTATAATAAAGTTAAATAATTATAATTATAAATTATCTCGTTAATTAATTGCATAATGTTAATTATGTTTAGTATAATAAAGTGTTTATAAAAATTGATTAAATTATACAAAAAGTTAAATGCTAAAAATAAAATTTTTACTATAAATTTTTTATTATAATAATTTTTGTTATAGTGCAAATATTTTTGTATATACATAAAATTAAATCAATTAAGTGCCCTTATGAGGTAATGAGATGTGTATTTAGGGCTGCCAAACCTCCCGGTTTCACCGGGAGTCTCCCGGAATTGGTGTATTTC